GCTCCTTGGAGGCCAAGATGACTAGGCTTCGTCTCTCCTACTTTGGACACATTGTCCGGAGGGAACAGTCTCTGGAGAAGGATGTCATGTTGGGTAAGATAGAGGATCAGAGAAAAAGAGGAAGACCCCCAACAAGATGGATCAGCTAGGTGGCATCATTGATGGCGTCAAGTGTGGTGGCGGTAGTGAGGTTGGCCCAGGATCGGACATTGTTTCGTTCTGCTGTGCATGGGGTCGCTATGGGTCGGTTCCGACTCTATGGCACCTGACAACAACAACAACATATACAAAACCAAGAATATATGTTCATTTAAATGTCCAAAGGCCACATTTGCAAGCCAGCCTTCTGGCCGCAGGAACACAGCCTTAGTCGGTCTGGGGGCCTAGAACCACGAGCTTCTCTATCTCTCTATGCCATCCCATCTGCCACTGTTTCTGCTGTCATTGCTTTCTGAGTAGGACCCCACGCTCCTCTCATGCTCTTCCTTCTTGATGGTCCTGGGGTCCTCTGTCCCTGAAAGGAAAGATTAACTACTTCCCACTTTTAGTAACACATGGTCTACAATTATAGTTGTGTTGTGTAGTATTCTATTGTGTGTATGTACTAAAGTTTGTTTATCCATTCTTCCATTGATGGACACTTAGGCTGTCTCCATCTTTGCTATTGTGAATAGTGCTGCTCTGAAGATTGATGTGCATATGGCTCGTATTTCTTGTGGATATATACCAAGTAGAGGGATTGCTCTATCATAAGGTATATCTATTTCCAACTCTCTGAGGAAGCACCACATCATTTTCCACAGTACTTGAACCATTTAACAGTCCCACCAGCAATGTAGGAGGTTCCCAGTCTCTACTCATCCTCGCCAGCATTTGTTGTTTTTGGTTTGTTTGTTTGTTTTAACTTTGCAATTAATGTTGGGTTGGATGATAGCTTATTGTTGTTTTGATTTGCTTCTCTCTCATGGTTAATGATCATGAACATTTCTTCATGTTTGTTGACTATTTGAATGTATTCTTTGGTGAAGTGTCTATTCATGTCCTCTGGCCATTGTTTATTTAATTGGGTTGTCTCTTTCTTGTGGAGGTATTGTTAGTTTATATAAACTTTAGAGATTAGTCCCTTGTCTGATATGTCACTGCAAAAATTTTTTCCCTAGTTTGCGGGTTCTCTTTTTAGTCTTTCACTGAAGTCTTTTGATGAACATAAGTGTCTAATTTTTAGGGGGTTCTATTCATCTCTTTTGTCTTCTGCTGTTTGTGTGTATCTCGTTTATTCTTGTCAGTATATTATGGTATATATTAGAGTCCCTAAGTTTGTCCCTATTTTTGTCATTGATGAACTTTATAATTATAAGTTTTCACTCATTGCCAGTGAGTCGATTCCAACTCAGGGACCGACCCTATATGTCAGAGTGGAACTGCCCCAGAGGGTTCCCAAGTCTGTCAATGTTGATGGGAGCCACCAAGGCACCAAGTGTAACACTTCCAGCCTTGGGAACCCTGTGGGTCAGCTCTGTTCTGTCTTGTGGGGTCACTATGAGTCAAAATCAACTCGATGACAACCCGTGTGACAATTTTCCCTGGTGGTGCAATGGTTAAGCACTTGGCTGCTAACCAAAGGTCAGCAGTTCAAACTTACCAGCTGCTTTATGAGATCAAGATGTGACAGTGTGCTCCCATAAAGATTTCCAGCCTCAGAAACCTTGTGGGGCTGTTGTACTCTTAGTAGGATCTCTGTGAGTCAGAATTGACTTGACGTTATTGCGTTTGGAACTTGGGTTCCGCTGTGTATGGGACTTCCTGGTTATCTTGTTTAACCACTTCCATTTGTGCCTAGTGCATGGTCTTTGTACAAGAATGACCCCACTTCTGGTGCAATAGCAAGGGTACTGGGGAAATTCTTTGCCTAGAAGTCAAGGATGGTAGATGAGCTGTGGGACAGTGCCGATTCCAGGCCAGTGTACCTCATACACAGCCACCACCCGTCTGTCAGTGGAAGTCTTTGTGTTGCTGAGCAGGTTTCAGGGGAGCTGCCAGACTAACAAGCCGGGGAAGCTGGAGGAGCCTGGAAATCTACTTCTGAAAATGAGTCAATAGAAACCCTTTAGATCACAAAGGTCCAAACCCCTGATACTTAGGGTTGCCATGAGAAGGGCCATCCCAAGGAAACCATCAGCCACAGTTACAGCTCCAACTATGAGGCTCTGGCAGGTCAACCTCCCTAGTGGTGGTGGTGAACATGTACTATGGAGTCGGTTCTGATTCGTAGCGACCCTGTATAGCATTTTCGAGACGCTGTAAATCTTTATTGAAGCAGAAAGTCTCATCTTCCTCCCATGGAACTGCTGGTAGATTCGAACTGCTGACCTTGCAGTTAGCAGCCCAGCTCATAATCCACTATGCTAGCGGGGCTCCTGCAACCTCTTTAGGCCCCAGTTTTATTCCTTCAAAGCAAGATAATTGGAGAAGATAAACTTTGAGTTGCACCAAGTTCTAATATTCTGTGAATCTGGTCTTCTTTATTTTTTATTTTTTAAAGTTTTTATTGTGAATTGAGAGATAGTTTACATGGGAGAACATTGGTTTTGCATGCACCATTTCATTGCAATAATGACAATCTCCTCCATGCATCATCATTCAACAGTATTTGCTTCTATTTCCTCTGTTTTCTGTTTTGTTTTGTTTTGGGGGGCGGGGAGATATATACAAAAACACTCAAAAGTATATAACCATTTAAACAACCAAAGGGCACATTTTGCAAGCCTGCCTCTTGGCCGCCAGCTCTCAGTCCCTCTCTTTCCATGAGTCTAGAGTCCTTAGCTGCTCTCTCTCTCCATGTCCTCATTTCTGCTTCCATCCCTGGTGTCACTACTTCTCTGGATAGGGTCCTACAGTCCGCTTGTGCTCTTCTCACTTGATGGTCCTAGAGTCCTCTGTTTCTCCACTGTAAGATTAACTACTCCTCCTTTCTGTTACAAAACTTCTACCTTTACAGTTGTGATAGTCACAATTAGTCATGATAACAATTACTCACGATTGTGATTCTGGTCTTTGGATGCTGTTCCAGAAGTCTGAACAGTTGTCTCACTGTCTCATCCAATTTTTCCAAGTAGCCTTCAACGTCCTTTTCTCCTTCCTGTCCCTAATTAAATGAAGTAATGATGCACTTCTGAAAAATATGTGGAACCTCCATTTTGCTTCAATTCATTGGTTTTTATTAAATAGGTAAATTAAACCTTGGTTTATGCAATTTAGCCTATAGCTGGATTCATGATTTTATTTTGGGTCCTGAAAATAGAAAGATAAATATAGCCTGTATAAGAAGATTAACAATCTTTATACCTTCTCAGCATAATACTGAAATGCAGAGGAGAAAATAATAGTATGGTGGTTATGAGCTTGTCGCGCTGATCCCAAGTCATAGTGATCCCCTCCTCCCCGCCGCAGCCCACCCCCACCCCGCCCCCCCACCCCCGTGTTTCATGATACAGCTGTGCTCCACAGGGCTTTTGATGGCTGCAGTCTTCTGGAAGAAGATTGTTGTTGTTGTTGTTAAGTGCCGTCTAGTTGGTTCTGACTCATAGCAACCTTGTATAGGGTTTCCGAGGAGCGGCTAGTGAGTTTGGACCACTGACCTTTCAGTTCACACTGACCTTGCGGTCCAGTGCATTGTCCTGCAGCACCACACCAGGACTCTGCTGTAAGGATCAGATGAGATAATATATGAAATCATAAAGCTTTGGCTGACAAGAGTGTTTCTCTTACTGTCTTCATTTAATGTACATCCACATTATTTAAAGGAGTACTGGTGTGGTGCTGTAGGATAAAACACTGGATCTCAAGGTTGGTTTGAACCATAAGGTCGGTGGTTCAAACCCACGAGTCGTTCCTCAGAAACCCTATACAGGGCTGCTATGAGTCGGAACTGACTTGACAGCACTTAAACAACAACGTATTTGAATGGGGCAGTGGTGATTGCATGGTAGATTTCTCCCCTTCCATGAGGAACACTTCCATAAGGTTCAGTTCCTGGCCAGTGTGCCTCATGTACAGCCACCACACATTCCTTCAGTGGAGGCTTGGATGTTGCTATCGTGTGGAACAGACTTTAGTGAAATTTCTAGACTGGTAGAGTAAGAAGAAAGGTCTGGCAATATGCATCCAAAATCAGTGAATATGAAAAGCTTATGGGTTCCTGTGATCTGATCTACCTGGATCATGGGGGTGACACAGGGTCGGGCATCCTTTTGTTCTGTCACATATGCAGTCACCATGAGTCAGAGACCAACTCGATGTCAGCGTATAACAACAAGAGTTTAAATAAAGTTAATTGTTATGCTCTTAGAAAGCCTTATCACTTCTGAACGCATGTGACCCCATCCATGTGACCATGTCATGGATTGGGTCTGAGTTCAGGAAGACTCTAAGGAGTAAACTTGATATTTCTGGAAGAGTCTGTTTGTTTCTGTCAGTCTCTAGGGCATCCGATCCTAAGGGATGCTGTCTTCATCGTGGGTAGCAGGTTTAAGCTGATCCGGGGAATCCATCCAAGATGAGCACAACTGCAAAACACAGCCTAGTAAGAACTCTTGACTGCCCACCTCAGATGAAGTGATTTATCTGGCTCGAAAATTAGATAATCCCCCTAAGGAATACATCAAACTCATTTAACCTGACTCACAGCGTCTCCCAACAGCACCCTGGACTGACAGGAGCGCAGTTTACTCTGTGCTAAATGGGGAATCCTACATAGCTGCTAAGGGGGCGTTTGGGAGCCTGTTGCTCCTGGTCCACAAACATAAGCAAAATAAGGGTGGTGGTGATGATGATGTGATGTAACATCGCTGCACTGAGAGTTCTTTAAGATGAGATTTTCCTCTGTGGAAGCTGTGGGCTTTATTTGTGTGTTTTACCTTAGACACTGATGGATCTCTGATGCTTTTAGGTGCACGCTGGGTTTATTGTCCTCATCATTACTGCTGTTTGTCATTGTTTAGGGTCAAGGAGTGAAAAAGAACAGACGGCTCGCTTTGGAGCTGATGAAGAAGGCAGCTTCCAAGGTAACACTTGGCCACCTTGTTGCACGGAAACGTTTCCATCACACGCCCCCGCACGCTCACACGTTGAAACGAGTGAATGGTTAGGTCCTAACCGTGGAGATGGGGTGGGGAGGGGTTGCGGCCACGCACTGATTAGTCATTTTTGAGTTACCACACACCCAGAACCCTGCCACAATGGGGATGGCAAATTTCTAAAGCTGAATTCACCTTCCAGTAAATAGAATTCGGGCCCATTTTGTTTGAAGGCTAAAATTATAATCACCAGCTGCCCTAATAGCAAGCAGTGGGGCTCCTTGAAATTGAATGGGCTTAAATGCTATTGAATTAGAAAAACCAAACGCCTGATGTCTCTGAAGGTTAACTCTGTCGCGTCCAACTACCTTTGCCTTCTGATGCTTCGATAATGGGACTGTTTATCAAATGCCTTGCAAGTATTAGGAGCCATTTTGTTCTTGCCACTATTTCTTCTCCAGTGGCTTCATCAAACCTCCAGCTGTGGAGGTGCACACAACACATGCTCAATGTGTACACATCCACAGGTACACACTCATACACACAGGCATACAGATTTGTAGAAACCACTATAAGTCTACAGTCTTGACCTTGTTCATTGCTATAAATCAGTTCTGACTCATGGCCACCCCTTGAGTGCAGAGGAGAATAGCTCTCTAGGGTTTCCGAGACAGATTGCCAGACCTGTCTTCCTAGGCACCTCTGGCTGGGTTCAGACTGCCAACCATTCACCGAGTAGCTGAGCGCTTCACAGGGTGCACCACCCAGGAACTCGAGACAGCCTTGATAGGACTCTATATCCTTCCAGAAATCAAAGACCAAACTCACTGCCATAGAGTTGATCCTACAGGACAGGGGAGGACTGTTCTTTAGGGTTTCTGAAGCTATATACATCTTGAGAGGAGCAGGAAACCTTAGCAGAAGCTCCCTCAGAGCAGCTGGTGAGTTTGAGCCACCAACCTTGCAGTTAGTAGCCCAATGCTTAACCCACTGTGCCATCTGGGTTCCGTTCTTACCCCACAGTTCAGCTAGTGAAGACTCCTAAAATAATCAATCACATTGATTTTTCTTTCTCCTACTCTTTTGTTCTGTCGAGCAGGTAGCTGGGGCATACAGTGAGAGCAGGATCCTCTTCTGCCCTCTGTGTGGCATCTAGAGGGAATGTGGCCCTGCTGGTGTACACTCTCACCTCCTGACCCCAACATGAATTGTAAGGCAAGAGTAGAAAAACACAGCTTAATGCTGGCCATTGAGGTCAGTGATTCCAGTTGTTGTTATTAGGTGCCGACGAGTTGAATTTGACTCTTATCAACCCCTATGTAGCAAAGTAGAATTGCCTGATGAGATTTTCTAGATGTAATCATTATAGGAGAACATTGCCACTGCATCTTTCTACTGAAGAGCTTCTGGGTAGCTTTGAACCTCCAACCTTTCATTTAGCAGCTGAGTACTTAACTATTGTGCCACCAGTGCTCCTGAGCCTCCTCTAATGGGATGGCGGTGGTGGCGGTGTGCCGTGGAGTCAGTTCCAACTCATAGCGACACTGTAAATCTTTACAGGAGCAGAAAGCCTCATCTTTCTCCCGCAGAGTGGCTGGTAGATTCTAACGCATAATCTAGTACGCTACCAGAGTTCCTTCTCAAATGGGATAACGGGGTGTTTTCTGATATGCAGCTCTATGACCAGCCTAGTGGTGCGTTGATGCCTGTGTATTGTGACTGGATTTTTAGCTCAACTTCAGTAGGTTTGAAATGCAGTTGTATGGCCTAGCGAAGCCATGCCCTTCAAAGTGTTTCTGATGCTCAGCAAGGAGTCACCACGCCCTCATTCTGTCAGACACTGTGATGAAGATTACATTTGCTTTGAGTTTTGGAATTAGTCATGTGGAGGAGGCAGATCTGTTGATTGAGCTAGCTAAATGTCCAGAACAAGGTATGATGACTATGCAATAATACAGGATTTCTTGTGCAACTCCTGAGCTGGTCCAAATGCAATTCCTAAAGAGGAATTCTGAAATGTTTTGGGTGATGACAGGAACCTTCAATTAAGACTGTGACCTCTCAAAGCAAGCACTGAAAGGTCCATTTTGAGATCTGTATTCTCTAGTTTTGTTCCAAAGCTGGTTCCTATTACTTTATAGAATAACCTGGTCAGTGGTAGAATTCTCACCTTTAGTGCAGGAAACCTGGGTTCAGTTCCTAGACAGTGCACCTCATGTGAAGCTACCACCAAACTGTCAGCAGAGATTTTCATGTTTCTGTGATACTGAACAGGTTTCATTGGAGCTTACAGAGTAAGACAGTAGGAAGAAAGGCCTGGCAGTCTATGTCTAAAAATCAGTCAATAAAAACTCCATGGACCACAGTGGTCCAATTTGCAGTGAATCATGGGATGGTGCAGCATTTCATTCCATTGTGTATGAGGCCACCATGAGTCAGGCATTGACTCAGCTCATTAAAATGCATTTGGCAGTACTTACCTGCTGTGTAGTGTTGTGGGTTAATGTGCCAGACTGCAAAGCCATTTGAATCGCAAGGTCGGCGGTTCAAGCTCACCAGTCACTCCTTGGAAACCCTATACAGGGTTGCTATGGGTCGGATTCAACTCGATGGCACTTAACAACAACAGCAATAAACCAGGAGCCCGCCTCATACCAGGCACTGTACTAGGCTCAAGAAGAATGACTCCTCGGTGGGGTCTGTGCCTCTGACACTTTCCCAAGCTGTCCTTTGCTTTGAGGACCTGCAGATATGAAACCTACACTCAATCTTGAGGATGTAGGATTTGGATGCCACTTTGTTTAGCACCCACATTCAAAGGATGGCTTTCATTCATCGGTCAAATATTTATTAAATATCTGTCATTGTTATTAAGTGTCATCAAGTCAATTCTGACTCAGAGTGGCCCTGTACAGGGTTTCTGAGTAGCAGCTGGTGGGTTTGAACTGCCAACATTGTGGTTCACAGTCCAGTGCTTATCTTATAGCGCCATACCAGGAGTCCTGTTGTTATTGTTGTTAAGAGATTTGTTCCGACTCATGGTGACCCTGTATAGGGTTTCCGAAGAGCGATTAGTGGGTTTGAACCACCGACCTTGCAGCTTAAGTCGACCTTGTGGTCCAATGCATTATCCTATAGCACCACACCAGGAGGCCTAGTATGTGCCAATGAATCCCTAGTGGAGCAGTGGGTGAAGTGTTAGTCTGCTAACCACAAAGTCAGTGGTTCAAACCTACCACTGCTCTGCAGGAGAAAGAGGCTGTCTGTTCCCGTAGAGATTCACAGTCTTGGAAACTCCAGAGCAGTTGTATTCTGTCTTATTGTCTGTACATCTTGCTATGAGTCGGGATTGCCTCGGTGGCCATGGTTTGGGGTTTGTTTTGTTTATTATGAGCCAAGCCTGAGATAGGTGCTTGAGATTCTCAGCAAAGATCCCTGTCTTCTGGAGCCACTCGTCCCAATGGGCTAATTACAACAGAAGGACTCAGAGGCAGAGCCTCTAAGAGTTGTGGCAGATTGAAAAGGCTAAGGCTGGTACTTTACCATTTGTTTTGAAGGGACATTCATGAGAAGGGAGGCTAAGGATTGCTAATTCCACCCTTCTTTGGGTGGTGCAAATACTTTGTACCATGTCTGTTAACATAAAGTTTGGCCGCATGAATCCACCCAGCAGCACTGCAGAAGAAAGACCTGGCTAACTGCTTCTAAAAACCATCACTCTCACATCCATCTATTGATGCCCACTCAGAACTGAGAGGATAGAGTAGAACGAATCCATAGGGTATCCAAGACCGTAAATCGTATAATGAAGCAGACTGCCACATTTTTCTTCTGCAGAGCAGCTGATGGATTTCAACCGTTCACCTTTTGGTAATCGGTGCTTTAACTACTGCACCTCTAGGGCTCCTCTAGAAAGATGACAGCCAAGGAGACCCTGTGGAGCAGTTCCTCTTGGTAACACACGGGTCACTATGAGTCAGAATCGACTAGATGGCGATGGATTTAGTTTGGAGTTTTTCAGACTCTGATATACCTAGCCTCACGGATGCAGGGCACTGTTTGTACCTCCGACATCCAACCTCCTCGCCAAATGCACACACACACACACACCTCTTCATAGTGAGGTGAGGAATGAGAGCGCTCAGGTGTGTACACCGACTCGACGCTGGGCAGGAGGTTCTATGGGAAGTCCTCACCCCTAGCAGGGCTCCTGGGATTTCCCATCCAGGCTGAAGGGGACTATACCAGAGCAGGTGGAAGCATCTGATAGTGTGAATCCAGCAAGAACAAGGAACCTCGAGGCTAGATGTACAGAAAGCTAAGAACCAAATCACTGACTCAGTGACCCTAAACAGGGTTTCCAAGACTGTGAATCTTTACTTGAGTAGAAAGCCTCATTTTCTGCTGAGGAGCAACTGGTAGGTTTGAACCACCAATCCTGTGGTTAGCAACCCAGTGCCTAACTCACAGCACTAATGTACAAGGGGGCCTCAAAATATTCATGGAAAAATTCCATTGCCTTTTCATTTCATTTTTCTCAGAACATTCTGCAGCCTCTTGTACATGGACAGACCCTTCCCTGGACCAGACACAGGTGTAGACAGAGTTCAGAAACCCTCCTTTACCACACTTGTCCCTTCCAGCCTCTGAAGCCTCTGTCAGAATAGGGATGTTCAGGAGATAAAAAGTGCCTGAGATTAGCAAATCGGCTGGTGTGGCTGTCCCCTCCAAGGGTTGGTCAGTGTTTGGGGCAGAGCCATCCACAGAAGGCCAGGCGAGGCACCTTCTGTTCCCAGTCTGAGCTGGCTTTGGGCCGCCTCTTGCAGTTGAACACTCACACTCGTGAATTTCAAGGGCACCACAGATACCACAGGCGATGAGGGGTCTTTTGTAGACAAGGGCGTTTTGTAAGATCCCTATGACTGCATGCTGATTTGGGGGAACCAGCATCAATGTGGAGCTGGGAGTGAAATCCCTGCAGCAGCCGGGACGCAACCCACATGGGGAGGCTCTGCGGCAGGCTCCCATTTCTTAGCACTTGGCTTTTCTTGAATGCCATCTGCCCCGAAGAAGAGAAAAGGGAAGGTTTTGCTACGGCTCAGACAGAATGTTTTTACAATACGTGACTCCAGAGTCTCTTTAGGTTTCATTTTTCCTAAATAACCACTTTTTTCTTGTTTTTCTGAAAATTCAAGGGATTGCATCAGGCTGTCAATGGCCTGGGATGGTATTACCACAAATTCAAGAAAAATTATGCCAAGGCCGCAAAGCACTGGCTAAAAGCAGAAGAAATGGGGAATCCAGATGCCTCGTACAATCTTGGAGTCCTGTATCTCGACGGCATTTTCCCAGGCACCCCTGGGAGGAATCAAGTGAGTAGAACCTGGAGCCAGTTCTGCAGCTTCTAACTAACTTGTTGACCTTCAGGCATTTGTGGAAGGCATTCTGTGTTACCAATCTAGGCTGGGCACTATGGGTGGTACAGAGTCATCCCAAGACACAGATCCAGGGAATTCTGAGTCCAGTGAAGGACAGACGGTGGCATTTAACCAAGTACCACCCAGAAGTCTGAAGGCTTCATGGTGGAGGCAGGTTTGGAGGGGAGGAAATAGAATGTATAGGCCTTATCTCTCTGAAGGAGACATGGTCCAGAGACTGGTCTGACAAGAACCAGAGAGCTGGGTCCAGATAGAACTGCCTGGGCTGAGACCAGATGACACCCTATGAAAAGTACGATGACAAGGCACAGTATTTATGGAGCACTCCCTTAGTGCCTGACACCCTAAAACCCTCCTTTTCCATGCCCACCCCACCTTCCACCTTTGTTTAATCTTAGCCATACAGATGTAAAAGGAGCCCTGGTGTGGTGTGGTAGGATACACACTGGACTGTTAACCGCAAGATCCGCAATTCAAACCCACCAGCCGCTCCTCGAAAACACTATACAGGGTCGCTATGAGTCAGAGCTGACTTAAAAACACTAAAAACAACAACTGTTGTTATTGTGTCCATTTGACAGGGTAAGTTGTGAGAAGCATCTACCCAGTTGTGTACTTAGTGGACTCTAGACCTGAACCCAGGAGTGGAGTGGAAGTCCTTGTTATAGATAATAAAATTGATGAATTTATTGACGCTGCCCAGTGCCAGGAACTGCTCCAAAAACTTATGTTGTTAAGCGCCTTTGAGTCAGTTTTGACTCATAGTGAGCCTCTATAGGGATTCCAAGGAGCTACCGGTGGGTGTGAACTGCCAACCTGGTGGTTAGCAGTCCAATGCTTATCCTATAGCTCCATACCAGGACTTGAAATATATGATATAAAGTGCAAGAGCCCAAATCCACTGGCATTTATATTCTATGATTATAATCATTTATGATTCTAACTTATAGCAATCCTATGGTAAGGTTTTTCAGACTAAATCTTTATTGGACCACACAGCCTTATCTTTCTCCTGTGAGATGGCTACTGGGTCCAAACCACCAACCTTGTAGTTAACAGCTCAACACCTAACCCTCAGCACCACCAGGGCTCCTTTGATATAAGGGCAGGTGGTGGTAAGTGTTTGGGACAAAGTAAAGCAGGGATAAAAGGACAGTGAAGGCAAAGACTGGAGATACTGTCTTTAAAGGACATCAGAGAAGGCCACTCTGAGAGACTGACCAAACTATATAACCCTATTGCTATGGGTCGGAATCGACTTGACGGCACTTAGCAACAAAAATAGGAAGCGTGGAGTCCCAGTGTGGCACTGTGGATTAATGCACTACACTACAAAGTTGCTTTGAACTGCAGAGCCAGTGGTTCAAACTCACCAGCTGCTCCTTGGAAACCCTATACACGGTTGCTATAGGTTGGAATCGACTGGATGGCACTTAACAACAACAACAATAGGAATTGTGAGAGCACCCGAGTGGCACTGTAGGATAGGCACTGGACCACTAACTGGACCACTCCTTGGAAACCCTATACAGGGTCACTATGAGTCAGAACCGACTCAAAGGCGCTTAACATCAATGTCTAGAGCAGTTCCTGGCACAGGGCAGCTTCAATAAATACATTGGATAAATTCCGTAAGGTCAGCAGTTCAAATGCACCAGGCACTCCTCAGTAACCTGACTCATAACGACCCTACAGAGGGTGTTCAAGGAGCGGCTGGAAGGCTCTTAACAACAACAACACAGGAGATGAGGACACAGACCTTGGGAAAGGCCAGAGCAGACCCTCCTCCCACCCCTACCCCAGTGAGACATAAACAGGCTTGACAAATGTGAGGAACCTTGGGGCGGGGCAGAGCCTCAGCAGAGATAGCAGGAGGGGAGGGACCAGAAGATGCGGTAGATAAGAGAGGTCTTGTGAGGGCTTGGCTTTTCTTTTCGAGAGCTGGGAAGCTTTGAACAGGGAAACCCTCTGCTATTACCCTAGATTCTTGTGGAGACTAGGATTGAAAGGAGACAAGGGTGGGAGCCAGGTAGTTAATGCTTTGAATCCAAGTGAGAGGATGGTGGATGAGGCCAGGGGAATATCAGTAGAGGGGTTGAGAGGACATTGGATACTGAGTATGCTTTAAAGGTTGAGGAGACAGACATGCTGATGGGTGGTTTGTGTGAGAGCCCTCAGGGATGCCCCACATACCTGGCATTTATTGAGGCGGGCAAGACTGGCAGCAGGTTTGGAGCAGGGGGAATTGGAAGATTATTCTTTGTGAAGCACTGTGCTAAACCCCGAAATGATTTCATCTTTGCAAGCAGCTTTCATGCAAGGTACAATCAGAAGCCACCTTTTTTCACTGAGGACAGTGAGGTTTGGAGAAACCACATGCCCAAGGTCACGAGGCATATGAGGAGGGAGCTGGGATTGGAACTCAAGCCTGCCCCACTCCCAAAGCCCGGGCCTTTAAAAATGACAGTTAAGTGCTTCCGAACAATACCAGTAATTGGTGGAGAGTGTGTCTGTCTGCTTGTTTTGTTTTATTTTTCCCTTCTCCCTCTTTCAGATGATGAGGTGGTGTATTTTTATGCATCGCAAATGTCTGGTAACCCTCCCACACATCTGCGAGCATGGATTTTTTTATTGTCATGTTCTAATTCTCACCTTCCTACTGGAAGTGTAATTTTTGTGCATGTGTTTAAAGGAAGGTATTAAGCAAGGTTAGGAAAGCAAATGCCTGCATTTTCACCCGAGGTAACTTCTGCTAGAGAAGTATAGCTACATGGCCGGGGTGACCAGAGGGCCAGTGAGACCTCACCAAGATGCGTACTTACTGTTGTCTTATTTATTGGATAAATTTAATCAACAGGACAAGCTACAGCTAGGTCACCACATCCCAGACACTGTTTTCTGCGAAGGGTGTCCCCCCACCTTCCCCAACCCCCAACTGTTGTTTAACCAGTGCTTGGAACTAGGACTCCTTGCAGAGAATGAGCAGAACTTTGCATTTTCACAAGATCCCCAGCTGATTTGGATAGAGCCCCAGGAAATATGATTTTCTTAAAGGTACCACAAGTTGGAACTTTAGGCACAGGTGGTATTGACGTCTCTCCCCTCCTGGCTCCCATGACCAAAGCTTGGGCAACAGGAACCCCACTGTGAGCGTGATGTTTTGAATGTCTCTTTACAGACTCTGGCTGGTGAATATTTTCATAAGGCCGCACAAGGTGGGCACATCGAAGGGACCTTGTGGTGTTCTCTCTACTACATTACGGGCAACTTGGAGACGTTCCCCAGAGACCCCGAGAAAGCTGTTGTGTAAGAATCGACCAAATATGAGTTCGCTGGGAGGGGAAGGGTTAACCACGCCTCAGAAAACCGAGTTCCTTTGTCTTTTCTTTTTTTTTGGAGGTTTTATTCTTATCAGTTATGCATGCGCATAGTTTAAACTTGGCAAAAATAACCAGGGAAAGTAGAATATCTTTGTCCACCAACTGCCCACCCTCCTCTGTTCCCTGCTGTCTAGAGTAAATCACTGGGAGTCCTGGTGTGGCACAGTAGGATAAGCACTTGACTGCAAGGTTGGTTTGAAATTTCTAAAAGGTTGACAGTTCAAATTCAACAGCCCGGCTGCTCCTTGAAAACCACATACAAGGTTGATATGAGTCAGAACTGACTTGAAGGCACTTAATAACAACATCATCACTGGGTTCTTCTCCCATCATCTGTCTTGAGTTGGTCCTCTTCTTTGCTCAACCCCATTTCCTCCACTTTCTGGACTGACCCTTACATTTTGGTAAGCACACAGTGCAGTAGCTTCCTGAAGACATATTCAGAAATGAGACCTTGCATTTCTGAATATGTGTTATAAGGGTTTGCAAATGAATGCTCATGGCCCAAATGTGGCCAGAGGTGTGACCCCAAGATCTAAGAGTGTTTTTTTTTACATTTTTTACCCCAAACCAGACAAACCATTTGTCCATTGAGTCCATTCTGATTCATAACAACTCCACATGTGTCAGAGTAGAACTTCACCCTAGAGGGTTTTCAGTGGCTAATGTGTCATAATTAAGTCAGTCACCAGGCCTTTTCTTCTCAAGTGCCTCTGAGTTGATTTGAACTTCCAACCTTTTGGTTGGTAGCTGAATGCCTTAGTAGCTATTTGTAACACAAGGACTTTACATTTGTAAAGGGTTGTAGAACAAACAAACAAGCAATCAAACAAAATTAATGTGAAACCAACACCATATATATCCCCAAAGCTTAAAATATTTACTATCTTGCCCTTTACAGAAAGAAAACAAAACATTTGCAAATCTCTGCTTTAAATCATTTTCATACTTATAGTCTGTCTCTCCAAAAAGTGGTTTTTCTTAAGAAATTTGGTAGCAAGCCCAACTTCACCTAAACTCGGTGGCAAAGCTTGAACATGAGACTTTTTATCATGGAATAGAATGTTTGATGTGAATATTAATATTTTCATGGAGTTTCTTGATTTTCTTTGGTTTTGCTATCTAGCTTAACTCCACGTGACCAGAGAACATATTGTGAATGACTTCAGTCCTTGGAAGTATATTGAGATGTGTTAAAATCTCCCATTATCAAAAACAATTTTAGTATTTTAATTGAAGCATTTAGTCTCTTTAGGTTTACTGTGACTATGGATAGATTAAAGAGCTCTGGTAGTGTAGTGGTCATGAGTCGGGTTGCTAAGCTCAAGGTCAGCAGTTCAAAACTACCAGCTGTTCCACAGGAGAAAGATGAGGCTTTCTGCTCCAGTAAAGATTTAAGGCCTTGGAAACCCTGTACAGGGTCGCTATGAGTCAGAACCGACTCCACGGAACACCACCATCACCACCACCATGGATAAGTTTGGTTATAAACATGCCATTTTACTATTATTTTCCATTTGTCCTATCTGTTCTTTGCTTTCTTTTTCTGTTCCTTATACATCGTTTTATATTAATCAAGTATTTTTAAAAATCATTCTGTTTTTCCCTTCAGTATTATCTTGTTACACTATTTTTTTTTTAGGTTATAATTCTAAAGGTTATAGCAATCTAGTTCATTAGTAGTAAACATTTCTAGGATAAATTAGGTGACAAAAACAAATAGATGATGAAACTATAGTAAATCAGTAAACATGTTTTCATGTAGAGAGTATTAAAATTCATGGAAAGAATATATATTTTTCATTTTGGCGTGGGAATTTTACATATAAAAAGTGCCTTACATACATACATATTTTCATAAATGTCAGCTCCTGAACAGTCCCAAGAAAAAGGCAACGGATATAAAGGCCTCAAAATGCATCTTGCTTTTCCTTCTTAACATTCAGTTTTAGTGTGTGGCTCTATAAAAATTCTAACAAGCAAAATATTCCCCAAGTGGGATTTATTGAGATCATATGAAGAAAAAGGCAATTATTTAATTTGCCAGTCTGGATATTTTCTTCTTTTCTTTCCTTTTCAGATGGGCGAAACACGTGGCTGAGAAAAACGGCTACTTGGGTCATGTCATTCGCAAAGGCCTCAATGCCTACCTGGAGGGCTCGTGGTAAGTTTGGGACCCTCATCAGAGCACACTTTCTCAGCCCTTATCCTTCCATCTGTCAGTATAGTCTTATGAGATGGAGTTTAACCAAAAACAAAAACAAAAGCCATTTGCAGGGACATCATGCCTTCCTACTAATGATATTCAGAGTATCGGGAGCTGATTTGCTGTTGATTGGAAAACATAGCATTTCCATGTTTAATTACACACAAGAATTAATTTTCTGAGGGGGAGCCTCCACATTCATCAAGTTAAGAGACACATGCACAAATACGATGACTTCTTTTCCTTTGCAAGCTTGTCTCTCTTGGTGTTGGAGTGTGGAGACAGCAAAGGAGATCAGAGCTAAGACCAGCTGCCAGGTCCCAGGAAGTCCAGCGTTTCTACGTTTTTCATGGGGAAAAGAGAGACCCATGTGTTTACAGATTTGGCTACGTCCTTCCATAGATACTGTCTCCGCCCACAAGCCTGGGATCACTGGAGCTTATCACCCACCAGACCTCCAGTGTCAGCCAGCTAGCCTTCCAGTTGTCCTCTGATGTAGTTAGTAAATCCCACCCTGGTGTGGCGCTATAGGATCAGCACTGGACTGCAAACCACAAGGTTGACAGTTCAAACCCACCAATGGCTCCTCAGAAACCTTATACAGGGTTGCTATGAGCCAGAGTCGACTTGACGGCACTTAACAACAACAGTTGTGTGGATGAGGCTCAGTTTGTTATCACTTGCTGAGTTCACTCATAAGAGGCTACCTCTCCAAGCTTTACTTGACTTTTTGGTTTTTTTGCTGCCAGTCGTAGCTAGCACTCTATCTTAGTTTTCTCTTGGGCCACATTTACTTGGCTGGTTGATTGCTTAAATGATCTGGGTATTTCAGTAATAACTAAGAAGGACGTGCAAATCAGTGCATATCCCATCGGTCCACCGCCTCAAAGACTTTAGACCAGACTTAGCATCAATCACATTCTGATATGAACCTTAATTAAAAATTAAAATATAAGTCCAAAAAAATTCCAGGTCTCCTTTGACCCACTGGTACACAGGTAACTAACAAATAGAGAAGGGTAGTGAGCCAGAATCTCAATGAGAGAATGCAGGGAAAATGAATGAAGAAGCACCACTTAGGGGTGTTTCTTATTACCTTGGACTCCTGATGTGGCACTGTGGGTTAATGCGCTGGACTGCAAAGCTGTTTGAATTGGAAGGTCAGCGGTTCAAGCTCACCAGCTGCTTCTCAGAAACCGTATTCAGGGTTGCTATTAGTCGGAACTGACTCAGCAGCACTGAACAACAACCAACAACATTATTACTTTGATACAAGCTTGTTTTGACTTTTGATACTAAATATATCATGGATAGCCATGATTGCGTTTTCTTTTCTTTCTTTGTTTCGTTGGGGTTTTGTGGGGTGTTTTGTGTGTGTGTGTGTGTTTGTGTGTGGCACAAATGTATATAGCTAAACATTTTGTCATTTCAACAAGAAGGGTTTATTGTTGCTATCATTCTGTGAATATGCATATCAGTGGCCCTACTTTGAACAATAGCAAAAGAAAATTTTAAAAAGTACTGTTTCCCCATTGAAATACATGTTCCTTACAATGTTTGAGGTGTGATAGCTTGCTTCTTGACTAAGCTTCAGTTCACAAAACATCCAACTTAGATTTTGGATTATTTTCAATTTCTCACCATTCAAATCTACTACCCTTTGCTCCCCACAGCTTTTAAGGTAAATGAAATATTCTTTTGTTGTTGTGAAGCACCATCAAGCCAGTTCCGACTCACAGTGACCCTGTACTGGGTTTCCAAGGAGCAGGTGGTGGGCTTGAACTGCTCACTCTGGTTCCCAGTCCAACGTATCATCCTACAGCTCCACACCAGGTGTCCAAGCATTCAGTTAACAAGGTGTTTCTATATGGGAGTTTTCCTGAGGAAGTGCATTTAAAATAAAATTAAAAAAAAAAAAAAAAACACTGCCGTCCAGCTGATTCCGACTGGTAGTGACCCAAAGGACAGAGTAGAACTGCTCCGAAGGGTTTCCAAGGCTGGAAATCTTTATGAAATCAGACTACTTCCTCTTCCTCCCACAAGGCACTTGAACCACCAACCGTACCATTTGAAGCCCAACTCTTAACTCTTAACCCACCGTGCTACCAGGGAGGAGAGACAGCATGTAGTTGAGCTGTTCCAACTCATAGCGACCCTGTATTAGGTCTTTAAGGAGCAGCTGGTGGGCTTGAACAGCTGACCTTGTGGTTAGCAGCCAGTGCTTATCCAACAGCACCACAGGACTCCAGGAGAGAGGACTGTTGTTGTTGTTAAGTGCAGTCAAGTTGGTTCTGACTCACAGCGACCCTGTATAGGGTTTCCGAGAAGCAGCTGGTGAACTTGAATCACATCTGTAAATACTTTTCACTGAGGTGGTTGAAGCTATTTTTCTCCTAAAGAGACAATCTTTATTAATACTTAGCCTGACCTGCTCTCTTTCTTAGAAGACTCAGCCACAACGTGGGCTTTGGGAGGCAGGAGACGAATGTGCATTCTACATTGTGAGTTTTGATTTAGTTCAGCACCTAAACCCATGTATACTTAACTTGTACACTTGAATACTGAGTGCACTTAAATGCCCTAAAGCTGCAGGGGACGTTTCAAGCAGGGCTCCCTGTCTCCTCAGGAGACTTCGCTGCCTCACACTGGCATTTCTCATGTATCCATATTCTGTCTGGCCTCTAGGCATTGTACCCACCATTCCCTCTGCCTAGAAGATCTTCCTAATTCCTTCCTCCCTTTGTCCTTCCATGTATTACGACTGCTTTTTTACTTGTTGATTAACAACTATAGTTGGCTCTGTACTGCTAACCTCAAAGTCGGCAGTTCAAACCCACCAGCTGCTCCACGGGAGAGAGATGAGACTTTCTTCTGCTCCCATAAAGATTTACAGCCTCGGAAACCCTATTCAGGGTCACTATGGGTTGGAATCGATGATAGTAAGGTGTTTCTTGGTGTGTTTTTTTCACTTGTCAACTGCCCCATGACTTGTATCCCAGTACATCTGGTGAGTGTCCAGAAACCACTGAATAAGTGAATTATAGAGGCTAGGGAACAAATAGCTATAACTCAAGGGCCACAGTGAAGAATCTCAGGGAGTGATGAAGAAAGCTACTCTCTGATCTGAGGGCTTAGCTTAGCTTTCCTGGTGAGGCAGCAGATGACCCTGCCTTGAAGGATTCCACGATTTCCATTTGCTCATGTGTGACCCAGTGTTTTCACTGAAGGAAATTTGCAGGAACCAAAGCAAAGGGAAACATACTAGGTTGAGTCCAGGAAATGGCAAGCCATCCAGTTTCTCTGCAGGGTACATTTGGTCAAGAAGCGTAATAGACAGCAAGACCAGAGAAATGCTGTGTTACGGAGAGTGTGAATGGAAAGCTACATACTGTTTACTGAGTTTGAGAAGCAGGGAAGGAGCTCTTGACAGTATGGGAGAGGGCAGCCACTTACAGAGCTGGGGAGCTGGGTTTTGAGGTAATTAACCCAAACTGCCTGTGAAAGGGTAGAGGAGGGAGAGTGAGAGGGGAACTAGTTCAGAATCAAAGGAGAATGGGCAGAAGACTTGAACAGGGGATGTGGCATGAAATTGTTGGTTTTCTCTTATCACAGTTGACACATGTTATTGTTAAGCACCATTGAGTCTGTTTAGACTCATAGCGACCCTGTATAGGGTTTCTGAGGAATGACTAGTGGGTTTGACCTGCTAACCTTGTTGTTCACAGTTGAGTGCTTATCTTATGGCACCACACCAGGAGTCTGATAGTTTATGCTTAATATGATGTCTAGGAAATTTCTTATGCATAATAACAAAATGAAGACCTCTCTGCCTGTTGCCCTACTTTCAAAGCCACCAGCCGCTTTGCAGGAGGAGAGACATGAGGCTTTCTGCTCACGTAAAGACTTACATGCTCAGAAACCCTATACAGGGTTGGGATTGACTATGAGTTGGGATTGACTCACGGGCAGTAAGAAAGTGCACATGGTCATTACTATTGAAGCTTCCTGTCGCTCCCTCCCAGATTACATCCCACGCCTACCCCAGTGTCCAGAAATAACTGCCATCTTGCATTGTGCTGATTCACATCTTGCTTTCTTTCTAAAGACCCATTGCCATTGAATGAATTCCAATGGATGGTAAACTCCCGTGTTACAGAGCAGAGCGGAGTTCTGTAGGATTTTCTTGGCTGTGCTCTTTGTACAGAAGCTCTGGTAGCGTACGGGTTACGAGTCGAGCTGCTAACCTCAAGGTCAGCAGTTTGAAACTACCAGCCGTTCCACAGAAAAAGATGAGGCTTTCTACTCCCATAAAGATTTATAGCCTCAGAAACCCTATACAGGGTCTCTATGAGTTGGAACTGACTCCACAGCACACCACCACTCTTTGCTTATTAACCTTTAGGCTATAAACAGACCATTTTGCTACACAGGGACCTTTCTTTACAGTTTTTCATATATGGATCTCTTCTTAAGCCGTAGATTTAGTTTGGCTGGTTTCAGACCTTTATGTTATTAGAATCCTGTGATATATAATTCTTGATCTGTTTTCTGAGCATTTTGTTTCTAAGATTCATACGTTTTGTTGCATGTATCCATAGATCATTCTTTTTCACTACAGTAATATATCACAATGTACTTATCAATTCTCATGATAATGGATATTTGGGCTGTTTCCCATTTTTCTTTTAGCTGGAAGTGGCCGTGAACATTTTTTATGTATCTCCTGGCACACATAAGAATTGTTTCTCTAGGATATAAATTTAGGAGTGGGGTCACTGGGTCACAAGGTGGGGATATGTTAACTTTACAAGATAGTGCCTTGTGTCCCTAAATGATTTTTACCAATGTGAAAATTTCGCCTGTCCTATGCCATCCTGTAGGCTCCCTGTGAGTCAGAATTGACTTGATGATGACAGATTTTGGCTTCTGATTCGTCTCCCTTGGCTGTGGATAAATTC